TGTATCTTGTAGACCTCAGTGAGTACTGAAATACCCTAAGTTGGTTAATCCCCATGGTGCTTTGTTGCTGAGATATTGAATTTTTAGTCAGTTTTTGCCTCTAGAATTATTTAAAATATTGATTTCAAATGTTATTAATTATTGCGATAATGATGAATTTATTCGTCCACCGGATGGTTTTGCAAGAATTATATGTTCAAATGGAATTCATCATGATTTGGATGAGTATACATATAAAGATCAGTTAGGTATAACATTAATGCCATTAGCAATCGTATATCGTTTCAAAGATTTATTATCAGTTATTTTATCAAATTATAGAGCAAATATAAATAATTTAGAACTACGTATGGGTCATCTATTAAGGATGACTGTACAAATCTGAATGACAACTGTATTTTGAAAAGCGAATTTTCTGCAATATGATACAAATAACTGTAGTAGTGTGCTTACTTATATTATACGGCCTGGCCAAGCGTAACGGACGGAAAATTTGACGCACTCAGAGACAAATCTTTCTATGACAGCAAAGACTACCGAGATTAAATTTTTTTTCCTGTACTGTGTATATCATGAGTTTTATCGATGGTAAAAATTTCAACTCATTCAGTTGAACAGATGGAAAAAATAGAAATGAATTTGCAAGGCCTGCAGAAATGTTTTATTTACTTTGAAAGTAGAGACGTGAGAAAATAATAGGTCACTTAAAAAATGTAAAGAATTACTTGAGTCATTGAATGGTGTGATTAGTTTTTTAAAAATACGTTTTCAACGTTTCATGGAGTAAAAAAGACCGTCGTAACAGACGGAAATATTTCTTTACTGTTTTGTGCAATGATTTATGTCTTGCCTTTTCATATATATAAACAGAGCACATGTAAGTCTATATATTAAGTCTTACATGTGCTCTGTTTAATGCATCTTAAAATGACGTTAACAAACTTGTTTAACTCATTGAAAACAGGTTACAAAATCTGGTTTTCCGGAAAACTCTTTTGACTCTAATACGTGTTTTAAGCATTGCAACTTCGAAAAAATTAAGCCATTTTGTAGAGAATTGAGTTCTGTATCGATTAGCATCGTTTTGAATTTTTTCAAGGAAATGTCTAAGTGAGAAAATTGAAATTATAAAATTTTAACCTTTAACAAATTTAAAAGTCCATCCAAAATCTTTGGCTAATTAAATTATTAAAGTAAAATATTTTTTATAATACATGACTGTGGCTGGATAAACACGATTACGGAGAGCAAAATTTTTTTCTATTAGTACAGATAATAATACAATAAAATAAATTCATCAGATTCATCAAATCACTAATTTTTTACTGATTCTAAACTTGGAATATTGTTCACAAACAGCGTGAATTCATAGGTAATTGACTATCATGCATCTAGTGAACCCATGCTCAACATCGTCAGAGGATCTTTATGAAATCTACAGAGAACTTTTTCAGAAACAGTAGGATAGAAATACTGGAATAAATCTGGTACACGGCCTGTCCAGCTAACTGGAATAGGCATGTAACATGAGAAAACTGTCTCCAAAATGGCTATCCGGACGGGTACGAAACTTGGAGCCTGAGGGTTTCAAGTCATGCTCTTTCTTTTAGTAAGTGGTAATATTTCCTTAAAGTTTTTCCGATGATTTTGTTTAATTTGCAAAACGTTTTCAAAAAGTTAGAACTCAAAACTGAATGAGTCATTTTATAGACAATTCAATTCTCTATCGATCGACCTGTTTTTAAAAACCTTTAGCGAAAATCTCTTGGTTAGGAAATTAAAAACACTGAGAGGTACTTTTTGCATATTTTTTTTATAAATTTAGTAAAGCAGCTCTCATTATTTTGAATTTCCTAACCAAGAGATTTTCACTAAAGCTTTTCAAAAGCAGGTCAATCGATAAAGAACTGAATTGTCTACAAAATGGCTTATTCACTTTTGAGTTCTAACTTTTTGAAAACGTTTTTCAAATTGAACAAAATCATCAGAAAAACTTTATGGAATTCCATACGCAGTAGAGTTAGCTGGACAGGCGTACAGTAAGTTATCATGGAAAATCAACTATGGCAGATGGAGTGGCAAATCTATACTTCCAAAACCTCTAAATCTCTAAAAGAATCTTTTCGGGAATAGTGAGATTGATGCTCGAAAGCGAGCATGGATTGCAAATTGAATATTTTGTCAGACCTTTATATTTCAATAAACCCTGAACAGTTTGCTGCAGATCCTTCGATGATCCCTGAAGGCTCTCTGAAGATCTCGAGAATATACCCATTAGACGCATCATAGTTGATTAACTATGAATCCATTTTTTTCTGCGCATAATATTTATCAAAAGTTATAAGTAGTCCTACTGAGAAGTGTAGTGTGTCATGTGGTGAGGTGTATAGTAAAATAATGTTTTATACATCAGTATCTAGAGACCATTAGCTGACTAAGAGGTAAATATATGCCAGTTTGAACCTGATTTAATTTTTCATATCACTCTTCTTGCACTGTGACCATTCAAATGCCATGTGTTCCTTTATGTAATTATTATCTATTTCTTTATTTGAAAACTAAAGAAAACAAGAAATGAGTAAAAACATATTTTTGAAAAAGTGTCGAATGTCTAGGGCTCGTTTGACTTCCTCTCCTTCTTCTCTCATCCAAACATCTTTGAAGAATGCTTTTGTACACATTTTTCAGGACGAGAAACAGATTCTAAAACAGCTGTCAATATTATTCTAGTAATTTTTAATATTCTAGATAGAAATAAAGGACAAACAATTGGTGTTTGTATATTTGTATGACATTCATTTGTACAGTTATGATTCGAAATCAAAATTTCATTATTAGTATCGATTACTGTCATTTCATCATTAGTTAATTGTCGAAAAAAAACATTTTTCAACATATACGATGT